TTAAAAACAAAGAAAGAGGCTTTATATTTGCAATAGAATTTTACGGAAAAAAAGATAAATACAAAATATAAACGAATCCTTACCGGTACAAATAATCCCACAGCAAGCGAACTGTCTTTGTGTCCTTTACTTAATATTTTACGAGTTTGTATTCCAGGGTACTTAAAAACATTGACGCACTCAACCATCGTTCTTGTTATTGTTATAAGACTTCACGGGCGTATACGATATCGGATTGTTTTACCAACATAATGTTTGCGGAACTTTTTGTTTTTACCCCTAACGACTTTGTTTCATGGACAAAATGGTAAATTAACGCAACTATCTAAACAATATTGTAAACAATACATTATTAATATATAAAAAAATATGTAAAGTCCCAACCCAAAGTAATTCACGCCCCGATCAGCCCCATTCTCTTTATATAGCACACGTCGTCCGAAAAATCTATTTATAACTTTAGCGGAAGTTGAGTGTATTTTATTTGCAGGTTATAATGTAGCACACGCTGGTTTTATTACACAACATTTTTTAAAAGTCATTATGTAGCACACGAATCGGAAGCGCACAAACTTGACTGAAAGGTGATTTATTAAGATGTTTGCATATGTGACAATATATAATTCATCAAGATCTATCAGTGGAATCGAGAATTAAGCCTCAAATGTAACTGATTTACAATAGAACAAACGTACGATAATTCACAAGGGCCGACACTAAATAAGATAAATTACATAAGATAACATTTCTTTATTTCCTTTATTTTTTTAGAAGCTATACAATTATATAAAATGTGCAAAAAATATATAATGTAATTAAAATAGGGAAAAAAGAAACATAAAAATAAATATGTGTAAATGAGGCAAATGATAAAGTTCATTGTGAATATCGTTGTCAAAATATACCAATAGAAACAACAATCTAAATTGTATATTTAGGGATACCTCCTTGCACGAAAAGAAATAGAAGAATCCGTGAAGATATTGACATTTACTTTTATTTCTGCAGTATATCCACTGCGGTATACCGTACCCCGGATATTGCTCGATATTATGAGGACTTACATCCCATTTCGCGACTTTGAACGGGGAACGAAGGTAAGTTCAGCGACGATATTTTCCAAACTAATGGCTATTTCATTTGTCTAAACGAGTTTTATATATCTAGAGGTATTTTTGTAGCTCTAAAAGACGTAAAAATAATACAGCTATTTGTAAAATTGATTAAACTACCCCTAAACGATCCGCTGCTAACTAGAAAATACTGACCGCGATACTGTAGAATCGTTAGAAATTATTATATTACCAATATAAAAAAAAATTGAATCGAGCAATTTTTTTATTCACAATCCAAGTATGCCTTGTCCAAATTTCAGACAAAAAGTGTGAAAGTACAAAAAAATACAGGCCAAAAAAGATACAAGACAGTGTACCGAGTATTGATTTTAAGTGTACAGAGTATTGCAAAATAGCCCAACTTTAGTGTACAGAGTATTGCAAAACAGAATGAGCACATTAGTATGGAAACTCGATATTTTTGTCTAATTTTTACGTCTGTTTATCGATTTTATTTCATTTTTCTGATAATGTACTTGTTTATATGATATTTATTCAAATATTTCAGATTCAACAGTGCATTTTCAGTGTTATTACTGTTCTTTTCCTACGGGCAAATACAGAGATTTAATTTCCAATTTGGTTGAAAATCACACTATGGATGAAATAAAGTGTGCGCGGGGTCGGAAGCAGGGTAGAACCATCAAAATTGACGATAAAAAACTTTAAATACATGTCTCAAGACACTTTGATCAAGGAGACCCATCTCTGAAATGGACAAGAATAAAAAAAAACATATTTAGATGACATTAATAATAGGTTTTACAGGGCAAGTTTGCCTTAAGAAACATATCGACGAAATTAATAAAATATTGGCCCCAGGGCTAATGCCGTCCAAGCATGCCGGTATCGTCTTAACCTTTTACTGCATGAGCATAATGCGAAAAATGGCTGTTTTCAAGCCTCTTGTTACAAGTTCAAACTGCTATGAAACTATAAAAAATGCTTCAATACTGATCAAAATCAAACTGGGCACAAATGTTAGCTGGACCATAGCCTGTGAAATAGCATGCTCAATTTTAAATTTCCAATTATCATGGCAACGGGGTGGGGGACATCTCAAAATTGCCAAAAACCTCTATTTTGCGTTGTTTTTTCCCATCAAAACTGATTTCAAGGTGCACCAACTTGTCAATTGACTGATATAAAGTCTTAGGTTTTCAGCGTTTATTACACGGTACCTTTAAGCTACAGTCTCACTTACATCCCGGCAGAGCCCCGGCAGAGCCCCGGTAGACGTCCGGGGTGATCCGGGAACGACCGGGAACAACCGGGGTACATCCGTAACTCTGCCGGCAACGTCCTGGATGATCCGGGATGAGCCGGGAACATCCGGCATTCGACCCCGGATGGAATAAAATATTTAATATCACCGGGGTGGTCCGGGATGATCCGAGAAGGTATAGCTTTGCCGGCATCATCCTTAGCTCTGCCGGGAACGACCGGGGTGATACCGGGAAAGCACCGTAGCTCTGCCGGCACAAACCGGGGATGATCCGGGGTATGATATAGCGGTAGAGCTACGGTAGAGCTACGGTAGAGCCCCGGTATATGCCGGCAGAGCCACGGTAACTACAGGCAGAGCCCCGGAGGATAAAGGTAGAGCTACGGTTGATCCCGGTCATTTCAAAAAAATAAGGACAATTTGTGATGGTTGAACTTGTTTGTATTAAAAGCCTTCCCATTTCCCTTCTATCCAGTATGGCATAAGGATTTTTCAGAAAATCATCATGAATTGCTATTCTGGAATAAAAATTATGTAACAATGTTATCATTTTCGGGCGTTTTCAATCCACCGGGGTTATACCGGGGCTCTGCCTGGATCGTCCTTGGCTCTGCCGGGGCTCTGCCTTGATCGACCGGGGCTCTGCCCGGCGTCATCCAGGAATGATCGGGAAGCACCGGCAAGAACCGTAGCTTCACCTGGGCTCTGCCTGGATGATCCGGAGCGCATCCTGGGTGATTAGTTGGGAACTACCGTAGTGCTGCCGAGGTAAGTGTGACCGCAACAATAATTTCACCCCGGATCGTCCCGAATCATCCCGGTAACTTACCGGTATGGTCCTGCGCTCTGCCGGGAGTAAGTGAGACCGAGGCTTTAAATCGACCTGAGGCCATTTAGCCCCCCCCACAAGTCCCAAGTCTTCTCGGCGATTAGAGGGGCTACTGCCCCACTTCAAACCCCCAAACATAAGGGGGCACATCCCCCCCCGCCTACGTAACCCCCTTGATGTACCTTTTTAATGGGGGTGGCGCCGAAAAAGTGATCACTCTTTTGAACAACATTTGTCAAACGAAAAAACCGTGTTTGGGGCCTAAATAGCGCATGTTTTACACTATTTGAGGCCTCAAAAGGGGTGGGGGTGTAAAGCCTTCATGAGGTAAAAGGTTATAAGGAACATAACCTTTTTATTGCATCTGCTGCCCTTAATCATAATCTTATCAAAATCTATTATTCGGTTTTCTGAGCTGTACCCGCTCGGCAGTCATACGGTAACTCATTGCGAATGGCGTAACAAAATTTCACGTGCAGACGATCTGCCGTTGCTAGAGTGCAGGTACAAAATGCCCGAAAGTTAACTTTATATGGATTTTTGGCATAGTAGGAAGTCGGTTGATATTAGATATTGGCACACTTGCTCAATACCGTCTAATATTGACAATCTTGAGGCAGGATTAATGCACTTTTGATGCATTTTTTACTATTTAATTAAAGTAAGATATGCAATAATTATTAACAAATTCTGGAAAGGTTGACCCTTCGATAGCAACGAGAACATTTTAAACACAGAAAATTGCTGAGTTCGTTCGGCTGAGATTTTTCACGAGCAGGAATGAAAATTAGGATTATTCGCAGATGTTTCCAGTAAAGTACCTCCGAATTCTGCATATTCTGCACATATAGTGTAAATAAGTATACACAGTAAGAAATATTTAAAATTAAATGTGGTAAATACTTTGTGTTTAATACTTGCATTTACTCTTCATTGATAACCAATACTCGTTACACTAAAAGCAATACTCGTGACACCGGCGGGCAACTCCAACGCAATACTCGGTACCCTGACATGTGTATTTATTCTCAAAATTCACTGTCATCTGATGTTCTATTGTTGATTGAACATTTACAACATAAACATTATCATCATTATCACATTTCACTCGATTCAAGTTTTTCTTTTAAAGAAATATATGCACAAAAACATCAAATTTGATTGATCCGAGCTCATTTATCACGTGAGCAAAGAGACGAATTTTACCTCCTAATTACATTTCAAAGCTATTTCTCAACATTTTTAGGGTTTCAGTAACTAGAAAAATTATCGTAGTATTTTTTTTTCTACAAAATTTATATCAAACCAATTCAAAATGACTAAATATCGTCACTAAACATACCTTCTTTCCTCGTTCAAAGTCGCGAAATGGGATGAAAGTCCTCATAATATCGAGCAATATCCGGGGTACGGTATACCGCAGTGATATCTACATTATTGGTCAATATATTAAAATACCATGTACTATTTAAATTAGTGCGCATAGTCCATTGCGTATATCAGAAGAGAAAAAAAGAGGTTTGTTGGTTCTGGAGTTTGCTTCTCATCATAGATAAAAACAACTATCAGACCTACTATCGTTTGCTTGGCGTCAATAATACATCATTATTTATACTTAACAAAAAAGTCTTGAAAATATTGGTACATGTATATTTGTACATATAACAATGGTTCAATATATCAAACCTTAGAAGGGAGAATTTTCCTCCCAGTATGTGCATAATTTCATTTAATATATAGTTTCATATCTATTTTCATTTAAACTTATTCCTTAAATTGTACCTTATAGGATTTCCATGAAAGTGAAAAAAGTTCAATAATATAACAAACAAACAAAACCAAAACTTAAACACCGCTGGATGACCATTTCACAAGGGGTTGTTTTTTAAAAAGCTATTATGATGTTTAAAATAATGAATAATCAGGCGCCTTCTTATTTATTGAAGAATTTCATTTTATCGTCAGATGTTCATACTCGCATTTTGCGTTCATCTTCTGATTTTCAACTTTATACCCCTAGACCAAATACTGAACAATTTCCTAAGACTTTGTTTATTCTGGATCTTGTATTTGGAACGACCTTCCTGCATGGTTATATTAAGTCTGCTACATCTGTGAACCATTTAAAAACCATATACTTGAGTTATTATCACACACTAATTTATACAAATTGATAATCTCCTGTATGTAAAAATAGATTTATGTTTTTATTTAAAATACATTTATGAATATGTTTTTATATTGTTCCTTGTTGAGGGTCTCATGGAAGATTGATATGTTTGTTCAAATGAGTTCACTCGTTAAATAAAGTCTTTATTATAATTATCATTATTATTATGCGTTCTAATTTATAAGTATTTCCCCTGTATGTCTAATAATTGATTTCAGACAGTATGCACTGTCAGTCACATGACGTTCACAGTGGCCACAACAAAGTTAAAATATTTTGTGACAGCAATGTCCTATTAGAATGTCATTTGTTAGTTCTTTTAGATATAAATTATTCTATTTTTTTACTGGAATATAATGATTGTTGCTGTGTACAGTTAAAGGCCGCTGTTCTATTTATTAACTTTTTTTATCCTAAATCTATCAAAACACTGTATGTTAAACTCTCTTTTCAGCAATGACTTTATGTGGTTTACAAGCCACTTGAAAAGCTGATCCAACTGGAGTGATATCTGCACACATTCCGGACTCCATTCTCCATTTGTAGCGTTGCATTAAACTTGCAAATATTAGATGTAGCTGTGGTTTTGCTACAAATTCTCCTAGACACACTCTTGTTCCCGCCGAAAATGGCAGCCAATTCTTCGGCTTTGGTCCTAGTTTCCCATCCTCATTTAAATATCTTTCCGGAATAAATCGATCAACGTCATTCCAGGCGTTTGGATCATGATGAAGCGCCCAGTGATTGATGCCTACGTTTGTACCTTTTGGGATTTTAAAGCCAGCTGAAAAATCAAATGCATTAATTAAAAAAGATGATACAATTTAGATCAAAGGCGACATTTCAAATATATAATTCATGTGATGAGAAAAGGTGTTCACACTTCACTGAGAAAAGTATAATTTGAAATTGGTTCTTCTAAAAGAGTGTATAAAAATGGCAAAACACAACTATATTTTATTCTTTTCTTTTTTACAACTTTACTAAATCGACGCTTAAGAATAGATATTCGTCACAAAATCACCCCCTTAATACATGTATACAAGCATGTATGTATTTTCTTGCTTTAAGGCCGATTTCACCGTACCAGCTTTCCCGGGTAACAAACCAGTTATAACCAATGTCATCGCAAGTGAATGACTTCCTTAATCAACGACGGGAACAACTGACCGTTATACAGGCGACTTTACATTACAATTCCGATCCTCTGTTTATTGGGGTACGTATAATACTGCATGTGTGCATAGTTTTATATATTTAATGGCTGCTGTCGATTCATTTTTTCTCTTAAAAATTATGCTTGTTGTAAAATTAATTCGTTATAAAGATTGTTGACAGGTTATATTTCCGTATATAAACGGCTAGGGTTATATTTACAAACAACAGTTTATACGTATAGGGCCATATAACCTGTCAACAATCTTTATAACTAATAATATAAGCGGGCGCAGAATAAAATGAACATACAAGATGGGTTAATACAATTCATATTTATATCTAGGATAAGTAAATCACTTTGTTCCCGTTTCTTTATTGCCAACATTATTTTTATTTATTTATATTTTTGATTAAGAGTCTTATCTTTCAAACTGCATGGCAGCCGTGTAGAATAAAAGAACAAGGGAGTTTAAAACATCACATCCTTATTACTTACCAACTTCCGTATCACAAGACGCTTGATGAAAAATTCCTAGTGGAGCGACGCTTGAAAGTCGCATACTTTCGTGTAAAACAGCTTCTGTGTAAGCAAGATTTGGGCGGTCTGCAACTCCTGGTAATCTGTCCCTTCCTAAAATAAAGGTAACATACTAATATATGTACCCTTACCATTTATAACATTTACTTTCTTCAAGTACAAAAACATATACATGTATCTGTATCTATAAACAAGGTCATTGTTAAGTATACATGCACTTTCATTATTAAGTGTGAACAAATATATTTTGATGGCGACACTTAAACAAGTTAAATACATCTAGAAAATATAAATCTTTAATATAATTAACTTTTGAAATTATATCAATTCTTTCTCTAGAAATAAATTTGATTACGTAACAAAATATGAAATAATTATTTAAAAAAAAACAAAGAACGGCAGCATTCACTGCACTATAATGTTAACATTGTTACTTTTATTTCACAATAAGGATGTCAATATATGATATTTGATAACGTATTAACTAACCAACAACATTATCTATCTCTTCTTGAACCTTTTGTTGTATATCCGGAAATGCCACCATGTGTAACAGGGCAAACCTGAGGGTAAATCGGGATGTATCTACGCCAGCTAAAAGAGAGAAACAATTTATTATTTTGAACGAAAATAGAGAAAGAATCAACATGGAGCATTAACATAAATCAGTTAAATGGAAACAACTACAGCTGTTTCGAAAATGATGGTTTAAAGGAACTCCACTGAGGTTAAAAAACATAAAATTTTAATTTCTTACATGGATCAGTTGGGGCACTTAACACAGAAAGACACGGTTTAGATTATAAACAGATATGCTCAGAAACAAATTGAAAAATCTATTTTGTGCTATGCTAGTCAAATGTAAAGAAAAGGCGTTGTAACGCTTTTTAGTTTTTGGGTCATTTTCCACAGTTAGTATAATCATTCTGGATGAACGGAGTGATCTGATGACCCGAACAATTTGCACACAAGTTATAAGTCATCCTTCCCTAAAGTCTGATTTAAGGAACATTTATCTGTTCTTGTAAAGAACGCGGGATATTTACTTATTTAAAATTTAACAAAGTCAAGAAAAAACTTCAAATGTGGTTTTTAATGGCAGTTGAACTAAGTTCTAAAAATAGCAAACACAGAACTGAAACATTTTTTTGTCAAAATAATTACAAATCTTACCAAAGAATATATCAGCAAGCGTTTGAACAATGCGATCTTCATCAAATCCTGTAAGTGCTTCTTTTCCCTCTTCCTCTTCCGCCTCCATACGAGCGAGAATCAAATTATCCGCAAAATGTCGCATTTTATCTGTAAAATTAAAATAATGATATAACATAATAACAAAGTATTACTTACACTTAGCCCGATATTCACACTATTTCCGCTTTTCAAATAGGCGAGCCGAGGTGAAGTGAACTTATTTCATTGACAAAAATATTTTATTACAATATATAAAGACATTTCGTGGATGTAACATTTCGAAGATCTATCTTTATGTTTTCTGATTTGTATTCCCATTTAAAACTCCGTACAAAGTACAAAGGTGTAATCAAATCGATCACAGTGTATTTGCATACGATCGCTGTATATTTGTATATATTCTTTGTGTACAAACCTTTGTTAAATGTTGATTCAGCTTCCTTATATTTCCTCCTCAGAAAACCTTCCATCACATGATGTGTAAA